GGGAAAGGAAAGAAGGGAAAAGAAAAAATATGAGAAAAGGAAAAAAATGGAAACAAAGTCTTTGCAAATAGGGAAGGGTGGAGGGAGTGAAGGGAAGGTGGGGGAAGGAGAAAAACTAAGAACCAAGATACTCATGTAAAGGTATAAGATCTCAATGATGAATGTAACTGTATTTTATACCTACAGTGTACCAATAAACTTCATGGAAAAAAACCCACCAAATGTAGGTTACTAACCAAGATAAAGATTATAAAAGTACAGAGAACACATGAGGCTGTATCAGGCAATCTGACTTAACCTAGAACACTGGGGAAGATTTCCATGAGAATGAGGCAAGATATTAAAAATAAAAATAAATTTCTTGTCCCGTGAGGAAGATAAGGTCTTCCTCTCTGTTTACAGGCATCAGGGGAGGAAGACAGAAGAAACAAGGGTGATTTAGGCAAATGGATAAGAAGAGACAGCTTTAACTGGGATGGAAAGAGAGAGAGAAAGAGGGAGGAAGAGGAAGAAGAAGTAGAAGAAGAAAAAGGAGGAGGAGGAGGAGGAGCAGAAGCAGCACCAACAGCAGCAGCAGCAGAAGCGGGGGTGCACACCTATAATCCCAGGACTCTGAGAGGCTGAGACAGGATGATTGCACGTTGGAGTTCCATTTGGGGGGAACTTAACAAAACCTTGCCCCCCCCAAAAATAAAAAGGTCTGGAAAAGTAGCTCAATGTGAAGGCCCTGGGTTCATCTCCCGGGAGGGAGGGAGGGAGAGAGAGAGAGAGAAAGAAAGAGAGAGAGACAGGGAGAGAGGGACAGAGACACAGAAAGACAGAGACAGAGAAAGAGACAGAGAGATAGAGAAAGAGACAGAAAAAGAGAGACAGAAAGAGGCAGAGGGAGACAGAGACTGAGAGGAGAGGAGAGGCAGAGCCAGGTGCGGTGGTGCATAGCCACAGTCACAGCCAGTGCAGACTTTGTTGCCAGCCTGGGTAACTTAGAGACACCTTTCCAAAGTTCAAAGAAGTGAAGAAACATGCAGGGCTTGACTACTCAAACATCACTGAGATCAGAATTAGAAAGTCAGGATTGGGGGCCGCAGCCTTTAGATACATTTTCAAGAGGTAGGAAGAGAGTTGTTTTCTCAGCCCTGAAGATTAATTAGAACAAGGTTGTCAGACAGTAATCAGTGGGCTGAATCTGGCCTGCCATTTGCTTTCACAAATAAAGTTTTACTGAAACACAATCATGCTCCTTTATTTATATATTGTCTGGTACTTTCACTCTATAATAGCAGCCTTAAATAGTTGCAAGAGAGGCCATATGGCCCATAAAACCTAAACTACTGACTGCCTGGCCCTTTCAGATTATGTTTGCCAATCGCTGCTTGTGCAGAATTTCAGAGATACGGAGAAGGAAACCCCAGGATGAAATAAGAACAGAACCGAAGTGACAAAAGAAGAATTCATCAGTACAGGAAGGCTCCTCACTGAGGAGTATTATGAAAGGTGCAAGAAGTTTCGAGAAAGAATTCTGAAGTCAGGTGAGAAAGAGGCTGGGGGAGGAGTCACTGGATTAAGAAAGTGGGTTACAAAGGACCTACTGCATTTCAGAGAAGGCTGGAATTGTCAAGGGCAGCCTCGGGGAGTTGACATTCAGGAGAGGAAGTCAATAAATAGATAACTCCTAAACACCTCTGGTGAGAAAGGGAAGGATCAGAAGGACAGGGTGGCCCGAAGCAGCGGGATAGGAAGGTGGCAACGGACATAGAAATGTGCCAAGAGATCTGGGGAAGCGAGATGTGGAGAGTGGAGATGTCTGGAAGTTAGATGCCTGAGCAGATGGAAGAAGATCGTACAAAGAATAGGTGGGAGCAGCCTGCAAAGGAACAGGGGTTATTTTTCCTCTGAAGAGGGTATGTGATGAAAATGGATGATGCTATTTATGGAGGGTAAGGAAGAAAAGATGAAGAGAAATCACAGGAGGAAGAGAACATGCCTGGAGCTTTCAAGAGATACGGGAGGAAGCTATATCTTACTTACAGCCAGGGGAAGAGCCCAGTCCAATTTCTGAGAAGGAGGGATATTAATTCAAAGCTAGAATTGAGCTCAAGGAAATGACTTCTTTTCATTCTCTGACACCAGGTATTTCTATGAAAATGTTTTCTCATTTCCAAAGTATGGGCTGGCAAAATTTCACTCTAAACAGCTTCATAGTTTAGGCTAGAGTATTTCAGGCTCTGTGAAACATACATAATCCCCTCCCCCACCTTTAAATTTTTAGCCCTTCAAAAACGTGAGAAGTATTCTAGGCTTGCAAGTTGCTCAAAAAAAAAAAAAAAAAAAAAGGTAGGATTGCAGTTTGCCAATACCTGGTCTAAATTACTGACATCCTGGGACTCAGCTGTGATTTCATTTGGTTACAAAGGAAAATGTGCTACTAACAGAACTTTCAATTCATAGATTATCTGTGGATCAGTAACTTAAAAGGGCTACTTTCTGATACTTACCCTAGATCCCCTCCCTCTTACCTCCAGGTTTGGAATTGTAGTTTGGGTTCAGTAAAAGTTGACAAGCTGTAAAGATGATTGGAAAATTACCTCAATCCCCACAGACTGCTTGTCCAGGTCAATGCGCGATAAGACGGGCTGAGGTCTGTTGATCAACCACAGGAAGATGGCAGCTCCAAACGTCAGGAGGCAGAGCAGGGCCGGGGTTGGAAGTGGGGAAAACAAGAAGTTAAAGATAAAAAGCATCTTCATGAATAGCAGCAGGAAACCCAGACCTTTAAGAGAGAGAGAGAAAGAGAGAAGTTAGAGGAAGTGGCCACATCTTTTATCAATAGTTCAGAAACACACACACACCCCACACACACACACACACACACACACACACACACACACCCCAACCCTTCGAGGAGAGCTGGGCTTTTCTAGTAGAATTTTTTCCACTGTTTACCTTAGCAATGTTTAAAAATAATAGAACATGCTCTCCACCCCAGCCACTCGACTGTCTTCACACAAGGCGGAAAGAATCAAAGGAAACAAGTTAATTATTTCCCGGACAATTTTGAAAAAAGAAAACAAAACAAAAAAACGCTGCCCTTTTGTTTTGGGACCACAGAACCTGGAAGGTCTTCCGGCCTCGCTAAGCTGGTAGGGTCGGCTGCACCAGACAGCTTCCCCTGAGCAAGCACCCTAGGAGCCAGGAGGACACTTCCGGCTGGATTTCCCACATATAAACCAAAGGGAAGAGGAGACCTCTGGAGAGGTGACGTCACAGGTTTCAGAAATCAGTCATTTGGCACGAAAGACATTTCCTGTTGGTCAGATAGGCCTTTCCCTGTGCTTTCTTTTCTAGAGTATCAGGATGTCTCTGAGATTAACACTGCTGTGTCCAATGTCCTCCCCTCTAGGGAGCCCGGAAGGACCATTTATCCAGGTGACAAGTGTGGGAAGGACACAGAAAGGGTGTAGAGAGTGAGAGCCGCACATGGTGAGCATGGAAGATTTGGCCCAGGAAAAGATCTCAAGGAACTAAAGCTATGAAGGCTTTCCCCGCCTCTCATCTTCTTCCACTTTCCAGCCAAGTTCAGTGCAAACCACTCTAGCACAGGAACCGACTGTGGGGCAGGTCCTGGGGATGTGCCCTTGCTGAAGCCATCTTTCCAACTCTTATTGCCTCATTGTTTTCAGGCTCAGTTAGGCACTCATAGCAGCAGATGAGCACTGGCCAGGCTTGGGTGTTTGCACAGCTGTTAATTTAATATAGATGCTGTATGCCATGAAGTGGTATCTCACAGAAGTGGTAAAGTGCCTTGTCCAAGTTCACACTTTTTTTTTTTTTTTCTTGAGACAGGGTCTCTCTATGTAGCCCAGGCTGGCCTCGAACTTGCAGAGATCCGCCTGCCTCAGCCTCTGGAGTGCCGAGATTACAGGCGTGAACCACCATGCCCAGCTCACATACTATTTCTCTTTTGCTTCTCTGTCTAAATCTACTAAATGACAACTCACTTTTTCTTAGAGATTCTAATCACAGTGTTCAAGGAGTCTAAATTTGTCCATAGCTTACAAATGACAGCAAGTGAAATTCCGAATTTGCATTCTTCAAAATTTACTGCAATGCTGATGTATGACTCTCACAGATGAGGCCAAATATTCCTGCTCAAAATTAACAGAGCAAAACAAGCCCAGTAAAAAAGATTTATCAGTTCAAAACTACAACTGCCTTAGAGCTTTGGGGACGATGTCATCAGGGACCTTCTTCATTAAGGGAAACATGTCACTCTAGCCTAGGAGCAGCTATAAAGCATTGGAATTTTGCGTGTGGGCTGGAACAAATACAAGAAAGCCTCAGTCATTCTTAACATTTTTCTATCCCTTTCCTTGACTTTAGAGTCATTTTTTTCCATTTTATGGAAGAAAACTGAACTTGCAGAAGCAGAGATGACACTACATTTCATATTGGATTTAGAGAAAGAAAAAGATGATGAAACAAAACAAAAGCCAGATCTCACAGGTGCTAATAACGTAACAAGGGTGCTATGTGAGGACCTGGCAGGATTCTCATGGCTGGGGTTTGTGGAATTCGGCTGTTCCTGGACTTGGAGGATGAAGTGATACTCCTGCAGGCAAAGGCCCTCTCCAGGCAGCCACAGGGGACAGCATTTTGAGGCCAGACCCTCCAGCCCTGGCTGGGGAGGACTGCCCCAGGGAAAACCGGGACATGGGGAGGAGAAGTCTGCTCCGGGCTGTGCTTGGCTCTCCCCTCAGGCTAGGCCACTGAGTGAGGCTGGCAGGACCTTATCATCCAGGCTCCTTCCCTCTGTCTCAATCCTGCCTGCACATGAAAAGCTCCTTTCCTTCACCCTCCTTGGCCATGGTGGGGACAAGCTGTTCCCATTCTCCGGATGGCAAAATTACATTTTAATAGGAGGCTTTAGGATGTCTTTGGAGTAGAACCTACAGTTGCCGTTCCTATTCAGCAGTGATGATGGGGGCAGTGCAGGGAGGGTGAATAGCCTGGCAGGTCACCCACGGGGAGAGAAGGGACTAAGAGCCCTTGACTCGTCCCAAGGGGACACCTGTTGTCAGTGCTGGCTGATTGTTACCGCACAGTCTCGTGGGCCCAGAGCCTCTCACCAAATTCCCAGATTCCCCCACCCCCAATAGCCTACAGGACTGGGTAGCATAAAGCCTCAATTTTAACCAGTAGAAGCTTTTAAGAGATAGAAAGTAAGGGAGAACATAGCTTCCGGTTTAGTCTGCACCACTGTCTGCCCATTCCTGGCTCCTCCTTTTAGCCAGGTTTCCATCCTCTTGCCCAGAAATGGGACAAGCCTGACCATTTCATTGCCAAGGACAGAGCGAGTTACAAAATTCAAGACCACACTTCCATGAGAATGAAAGGACCTTGCCTACCCTGGAAAAAGGTTTGATTTGCAGAAGACACTGAAGGATTTGTCAACTGAAATAATAGCTTACCCGGTTGCTCTTGCTGACCAGCTACCCAACTCCAGTAGGAATTTCAGATGGTTCCTCCCTGCTGCCCCCATAATTATTTGTATTTATTTATTTTTTATTTTTTATTTTTGGTACTGGGGACCAAACTCAGGACCTTGCGCTTGCGAGGCAGGCAGTGGCACCACTGAGCTACATCCCCAGGCCCTATAATTATTTTTAAATTGAGATAAAATTCATGTAATAGAATTAACCACTTAAAAAAGTCACAGTTTAGCAGTATTTGCTATATTGATGATCTCTAGTTAGTTCCAAAACATTTTCATTACCTAAAAAAGGAAATTTTATGCCCATGAAGCGGTCATTTCTCGGCCCCCCATACCTAGAGCCAACATTAATCTGCTTTCTCTTTCTATGGATTTCCTTATTCTAAATATTTTATGTAAATATAATCATATGATATGTGACTTATTTTGTCTGAATGCTTTTGCTTAGAATGTTTTAAGGTTTATCCATGTTATAGCATGTATCAGTAACTTATTCCTTTTTATGGCTGAATACTATTCCATTGTATGGATATACCTATCTCATTTTGTCTGGTCATTCATCAGTTGATAGACATTTGGGTTAGTCTCACTTTTGGCTATTGTGAATAGTGCTGTTATGAACATTAGTATACCAACTCTTTGTTTGAATACCTTTCTTTCTTTAGGGTATATACCTAGAAGAAGAATTACCGATTCATATATTAATCTTATATTTAACTGCTTGAGGGACCACCATAGTGCTTTCCACAGGGACTGCACTGTTGTACATAACAACAATTAGGAAAGAAGGTTCCAGTTACTTCATATGCACATAAACAATGGTATTTTCTGTTTAAAAAATATCCATTCTAATGGGTGTGAAATGGTATCTCATTTTGAGTTGGATTTGCATTTCCTGAATGAGTGGTGATGTTGAACAACTTTTTTGTGTGGTTGTTGGCTGTATTTCTTCTTTAAACAAATGTCTACTCAAATTCTTTGCCCTTTTAAAAGTTGGGTTGTTTGTCTTTCGGTTGTTGATTTGTGAGAAGTCTTTATGTAGCTTGAATACTAGACCTTTGTCTGCTACATGACTGCAATGCTTTCTCCCGCACTGTAGGTTGTCTCTTTACCCTCTTGATAGTGTCCTTTTTAATCCATACAACACTCGTGCATTTTTAACTCTATTTATGTTGGCAATAGAGAGGATTTGCAACCATTTTATGTAACTTGCTCACTGTTTAAATGGGGGAAAATAAGATCCTGAAAGAAGGTGTGACCCTCCTCACAGGGTTACTGAATGGGGAAGCCCTGGCTGCAATTCTAGCCTGTAGAATCTGTGACCACTTCCCAATGTGCTTAAACAAACCAGGAGAAATTCTGTCATCCTTCTTGTCACGTGCCGTGGGTGACTCCAATTACAATCCTGGTTCAGTCACCTCACAATCACCCCAGTTGGTGTAACAGCAGTTCCTCTCCCCTTTAACACCACTTTTTTTTTTAACACCACTTTTCCTTGAGAAAAAAACAGGGACTAGAAAAGGGCAATAGTGGGGAAGAAAAGAGCAAAGATCCCTGCCACACAGTGTCTGAGAGTTCCTGTTCGGGGTTGTCTACAAACGCCGGAGGCTGAGCAAGTCACAGTGCACGTTGGGGTGTCCCAAGTGGAAAGCTCCCTCTGCTTTTTGGTATGGTGATAACAAGGCGTCTCTCCCCCATATCCCAGAACATTCACTTGCTAGGACATTCTCCTCCTGTATGGCATGGGTGACCATGGGCAAAGTCACTCATTTCCTGGCTCCCATTGTGTTTTATTTGCAAACTAGCTGAAGGACACCTTCTGCCTTCACATCTCCTTGCAAACCTCCTGGACGAATCTCCTCTAGGTTATGACCAGTCCATATTCAGTTTTGGATTTTACTCCTTTTTGAACTGGGCGTAGTATTTCTTAAGTCTCATTTTCTTGAAATAAAATCCCTAAAAGACCCCTTCTACTCTACTACTCAAGTTTTTGGCTAACTCTGTATTTTGCTGTAAATCTTTCAGCCTATCTTTACAGGCTAAAGAAAATTTTCCCTTGATAGTCCCTTTTTTAAAAAAAAGATTGTATTTTTTGTGTAAGGCCCTGTGTTTGATCCCTAGCACTGCAACAACAACAACAAATAAAAAACCTTTAAGTCCATTACCACCTCAGACCCTTTCTATTGGCTTTTCCTTTTGCTTGGAGCATGGTTCCCCAGATCTGATAGGCTTGTGTGTTGCTTATAGGTTAGGCATCACCTCTTTAAGTGAAATGTCAC